TAAGCTCTCCAGAATTGTCCCAGGATCTGAAGGCTGAGTGGTGGCTGTCTCAACATTAGGTACCTTCACCTCTCTGGCACCCAGCAGTCCTCTAACAGAGCTGTGCAAATGTACCTCTGAGGCTTGAGTAAGACCTCTCTGTATTTCATGGCATGCTCAGAGCAGGTGGAGGAGCAGGAGAGCAGCTGTGCATGGTTCTGCACGCAGGTGGAGCTAGATCTTCTCATATGGAGGAGTTGAACAAGAGGCTTTCTTGGTTATGCATCTGTTGTCTTAATCCTCACTCATACTGCTTAACACATCTTCTAAAATGAAGGCAATATAGGAAACTTTAGGAACTGTCAACCTTTTGAAATCTTTGTATTAAAAGATGTTTTTAAGGGAATCTGCCAAATATTGTCACCCCTGGAGCAGAAATACACATGTGCCTTGGTCTCAGCTGCAGTATGTCATAAACCGAGGGTAATGTGTATTACCCTGGTGAGGAGGGAGTCGTGCTATTGAAGCAGTGTGTGAGCTGTTACTGAGGTAATGATTTGCTTTCTTTCCCCTGTGCCATCTCCCTGGCAAACAGGCGTAGAGGAATTTTCTGAAATTAACTGATCTAAATTTGCCAAATGAGACCATTCCTTACATGACAACAAGAAGGTCTCATGGAACTGCACGTTTTATTGGCAGCATTTCTAGCTTCCGTCATTTCAGAAAGATTGTAAGCTACAAGAAGTGAGGATAAAAGCAGACACAGGCAGCCAAATTGGTCTCCTGAATCTTGCTTATGAAGTTCAGTACAATAAAAGACAAGGAAGGAGTCGCTAATTTAAACTGCCTCAACCACTGATTCACCGACTTTATATTTGTATCCACCCGCAATCTATGTTATTTCAAGTGTGCTCCTTCCCCACCTCCATCCAACATCTATCCTCCTACCTCAAGGCTTCTAGGTTTTGAATGAAGAAGAGTGGCATTCTTCTTTGAAAGATAAAAACAAAGTTTTCCTAGCCTTAGCCAGGTCACAAAGTGAAAGTCATACAAAAATGGGAGACCACAGCCTAGCAGCCTAGGTGTTAGTTTCATGGGAAGGTCTTTTTTTTTTTTTTTTTTTTTTTTTTTTTGGGGGGGGGGGGGGGGGAGGGGCGAGGGAAGATGAAAGTTAATTTAGTTTGTTTGTTTTTAAGGAAAATGCCCTTCTGTAGTTCCTCTGTAATATTACAGAGGGGAGAGGATGTGACCAACATGGACATGTATTTCCTGATTCCTATGCAGAAGTGAGTGCCTCAAGATGGTTCTGTGCACAGTGGCCACCCCATGGTTAGGAGTTAGCCTGGACTGAGACATAAATATATAAAAAAGGAAGTAGCAGTATTTGAGTAGAGAACATGATAGGATATGAAAATGTGGGCTTTTTAAAGCAGGACGAGCTTGGAGAAGGTTCTGACAGAAGGTCTGCAGTGGAGGGAATAGCATGTCTTTGATGACAAAGCTCTTCTCCCCCTTAACTGAGAGTTCCTTGCTCAATATTGCAAGAAAATAACATGACTTTAATCTGCTCTAATAAGATAAAGATCCAGATCACTTTTTCCCTTTTCCTGAGTGTGTTCTGAACACCAGCAGCCACTTGCTGTAAGAGCCAGAAATCAGGAACAAGAATGTTCCTTGCTGCATGTTCTTCAGCACCATCTACTGGCACTTTCTCTAGTCACTACTTGGGCGTTGTATCACCTACAGCCCTTGAGTCACTTTCAAGAACAAAGAAACCGAGTAAAATCCTCTAAGGGACTGTCCATACATAACAAACATAAAGACTACCTTGGATGAATTGGTGCTTAAATAAACTTTGGTGCATATGTGAAACATAGTAAAAATCAGCCAACTTACAAGCAAATACAATTGGGCTAATGGGAATGCACATCCCTTCACAAAAGTATAATGGAGGCAAGGGACAAAAAGGCAACTCAGAGAAAACCAGAACTCATGAGGTGATGAGAACATGTCCAGGAAAGGAAAATTTTACAGGAGATGTAAGAAGATATTAACCTGGAAAAGAGCCTTTCGAAGCAGAAACTGGACCAGTATTTATTTTCCAAGATCTATGTCTTAAGAATGGGATTTTTGAACTCGACTGCTATTATCAGATTTTGCAATACTCCTGTTTAAATATAAAACTGATTCAGATGGATGGATGACTGTTTTTTTTTTTGTTTTTTTTTTTTTTTTTTTTTTTTCAAGAAGACTTTAGATAAATGAACTCTGACTCCTCTGACTGGAGCAGCTCTGCATAATCCAGTGGGACAGATCTTGTGCTGGGATTACTGATAGTCTCTGCTGTCTTCAGAAATAGTGGCATTAAAACAGAAAGGAAAACAAAATTCAGAGCACATCTGTAGACACTGTCAGCACAACTCACTGACATCAAAAGCACTTACTGATTTGCCACAGTGGATGAACCTTTCCCTCCGTTTGATGCCAGTAAACCCCAAATTAAGCACAGCCACTGAGTTAGCCCTAAAATATATTCAGTAAATTGAATAGCACTCATCACCAATTTTCAGTTTTCATTTTAGCATTCATTTCACTGATGAAAGATAGTGTACCAACAGTGTTCCAGATAACCATGAATAAACTGTTCCTGTTGTTTCTGAACATGAAATAAGAACAGAGAAAAATGGCATAAGAGAATGTGCTAATGACATATTGGAATAAATATTCATTCATCCTAAGCTTTTCTGTTTGTTTGTATATCTAGAGCTCTCTTTACAGATATAAAACAGTTCAGTGAATCAGTACAGAGGGAAAATACATTCTTCTCAGCATGGGTGTTGACCTCTAAGTCATCTAGTCCAATAAAATCCATTGACAAAAAGCTTCTATACCTCACAACCTTCTCTTTTTAAAATTTTCTAATAAACATTATACTTAATTGCAACATCAGCGAAATGTTGACAAAGGAACATTTTATTTTTTTCAATATATAATTTAACAGAAGCACCTGGTGAATGACGTTTTAAAGTTGTCAGCTTGGACTCATGAGAACACAATTGAAGCAAAATCTCACGCTTACCTCTGCTATTGATGCAAACATCCTTCTTCATTGCTAAAGACAAAACATCTCAGTAGCTAGCTCTAACTAGGAATTCTAGCAAGCTGTAATTCCCCATGATGTCTACAGGCTTATAAATTTTGTAAATCTCTTTGGAAGATGTTATTTCTGTCCTCACAAAAGCCTAAGGTATCTTTCAAAGTCACTCCAGCTCAGACAGAAATGGCAAAGTATGGAGGCAACAGTTATGTGTAGGAGAAGTCAGTGGATAAACATAACAAGGCAAAGAAAGACTGGATGACAAGTGAGGTTAAGGAGACAGAAGCTTGCAGTGACAAATGCCATTAATGTTATTTGAAAATGCAATTGATAAAGAAGGGACAAAGGCAGATTAAGAGAAAGCCAAAATGATAGAGAAATTGCTCCCAGAAGTTATTGTGGAATTGATGCAGATCAAGCCGTTTACTATTTTTACACTTCATTAAAAAGACTAAAAAGAACAGTGTAGTGTGCTTTGGGGGATACAAAGCATCCAACAGGCTCCTCTGTTACAGTGTAATTTTATAATCTTTCCAAATTTAGTCATTTTAGCAAGCATGATCTCAGAAAGTTGCTACTGTACTTAAGATCAGAAGTTGGCAATGCATTATTCCAGATGGCTTTTAGACAGATATGGGATGCCCAGATAGAGCTGAAGGGCGTTTGGTGAACATATGGGTGAATGAGCTGCTTGTAGATTTGCAAGATGTTGATAGCATCACACTTCTGGCAAAACACAAACTACTTGTTCCCATTTATAAGAAATGAAAGCCTAGACAAGTGTTTGTCATGGATGACAGAGAGTAGAACGCACCAAAGCATCTCCTAGTAGCATCTACAGCTGAGGTAGAGATTATTTTACAATTTAGGGACAGCAACTTAAAACAATGAAACCCCACAGCTAGAGTGCTGGAGTTGGAACTTGGCCAAGAATTGAAAATGCAATCATAATTATATCTCCTTCTAAGGGCTGCAACTCTGTGTGTCAGTCACTGTTACAGTGTGGTCTTTAAACCTAGTTCCATGTGCTAACTGATTCAAAACTACCACATCTTTTATCCTCCAGGGGTAAGTCAAAACTTGATATTAAAGGAAGGTGTAAGTCTTGGGTCTGAGGGTAATCACAGATAGCTTTGGAGGATGCTGAGTGGTCGTAACAGATTTTAGCTCTTATTCCCTCAGAGCATTCAGGACATTAAACATGGCATATATATATATATATATTGTTGGTGCTAATGTAATATGTTTTGTAATGCAAGTGAAGAGTAGCAAAGCCCAGAATAAAATTAAGGAAGAGTGAAATGTGCCTCCCACATGCACATGTGAGGGACAGGATTTTTCCATGTGTATCAAGTTCATCCAAGAACTACAATGAAAGGAATGTAACTTCCTGTTAATAAGGCCAGAAACTTTTGACAGGGAGCCTTTATAAATAATCCAGTGCAGAGACTCCTACCTTCAGTTTGCGTGGGTACATCTGTGTACCAAGAGGGCGCATAACAATGAGGAGACATTTCTTCTCAGAAAGAGTGATCAGGCATTGGAATAGGTTGCCCAAGGAAGTGGTGGAGTCACCGTCCCTGGGGGCGTTCGAAGGAAAGGTTGGACATGGTGTTTAGGAACATGGTTTTGTGGGTGACATTGGCAGTGGGGTGATGGTTGGACCAGATCATATTGAAGGTCTTTTCCAACCTTAATTTTTCTATGATTCTATGCAGAAGGAAGAGGATTCCTGGCCTATCCTCACCCCAGGCTAGGGGCCCAGCCAGCATAGGGTCTCCCACCTGGCCAGCAGCAAGGCCTGTGTGGAGGTGGTTGCCATCTTGGCCCAGCCCATGCCTATAAGCAATCAGCCACAGTCCAGGCAGCTGATTGCTTACCAATCAACCACCAGGTGCAGGTCTCAGGTCTCAGACCCTGATCTAGAACCTTCTTTGCACACCCTTTCAGAGGAACTTGGGTACCGTTAGTGGTGGATGTGCCCCAGCTGTAGTGAAAGCTACTTCCACAGCTGAGCTGGTCTCTGAAATGGCAGAAAAGCAACCTGAGAGAAGACTGTCCGGTAGGCTGCTACAATTCAGTAAGCAAATTGTATTATTACAGCAGTGAGGTAACTGTGCTAATAGCTATATCCTGTATCATTTCAGCTCTGTTTTAAATGGGAAAAAGTGGATTGATCTCCAGAGGAAACATGAAGAACCAAACATCCAATTGCACGTTTGCAGAGGCCCAGCAAAGTCCAAAATCATAGGTAATTCAACTAAGCTGTCTTGCCGCCAGCTGCCTGAACACTGCTTAATGATGCAGGGTAATTAGAGCTGTGTCCTAGTGACAGAAGCATTTTGTTCTAGATAGACAGGATAAAGGAGAAACTGGAACAGTTTTCTAGTAAAAAAATAAGAGAGTGGTTGAGGAGATCCTCTTGGGAGACTGTAAAAAGTACTGCCTTTGGGAAGAAAGTGAAGTTGAAAATTTGTATTTTGAGTGATGGGTAAGCCTAAAGTATTTGTAGACTGGTTTTACAATTTTTACTAGCTGGAATTCAATAAACTAGTATTCACTGAGTTTTAACCAGTAATTTAGTTGTTTAGCACAGTGATAGATGCACCTTAGCCTTCAGATCTGCCCCTCAGTTTTCAACAGACCCTCACGCTTTCCCACCTCAAGGCAAAGGAGCCCATAGGAGTGCCATTTAGGGCTCTGCAGTGGAGAAGGGAGTAGATAGAAAGTGTTTGTAATGCTCACTTAAGTCAACAGTGCTACCAAGTGTGATTTTATGAAGCTGAAGAATATTCAATGGCATTGCCTGTTCATATTTTAATGAACAGAACATTTTACCCCAGAGGACTTTTCACATAGCACAAAGAGAATGGAGTTTCTTACAATTCTTGCAGCTATGCTGTAATACATAATTTAGTCACACTATACAATGGTGGCAACTATCTTGATTTCTCCTGCAGATGGCATATAGAATAGAACTTTAAAATGCTATTATTATTATTTTTTTTTGTCTCACCTGCCATTGTTTAATCTATTTAAGACAATATTTGAGGGACCAGAGCAGAATCCATTCAAAAAGAATAATCCATTGGTGGAAACGAACAGTACATATTACTATACTTACATAAAAATTACCTGCAGTAATACCAATGGGGTACAGGACACCAGTGCTCAGTACAATAGTGCTAACTCCTTGAACAGGTATTTGAACCTGTTACTGAAGCTGAAGGTGCCTGAGAGATATAGGAGACATATAAAATGAGCCTGTAACCCTAGCTGAAACATTTAAGTCTGTGTTCAAAAGCCACATTCTCAGCTGAAATTTTGCTCATCTCATTTGGCTTATCCATCCGAGCACTCGATCCAAGGTACAGCTAGGACATACTAATGATTTATTATATCATAGCAAGTAGTCAGGGTAAGTTTTAAGAATACTGAATTTAGACAAATGATATGCTTTCCTTTATTTCTTAGCTACCTCTATAAAGACTGGGATTCTTGCCTTGCTTTTGACTGTGCTTCACTAGTTATGAATAGGAGCTTTATTGCGTATGCTTCATTAACTATGAATCAGAGCTTTAAGTCTCAAAGGGATGACAACCCAGCATTTACTAAGCAGTAGAATAAAATTGAAATAGTATCCTAGAAAAACAAAACAAAACAAAGTGGAAAAAAAACCCTAGCATTGTATCATCTGACAATATTACTGCAAAGTCCAAAAGCACTTACTTAGAAAAGTACTAAGTTATTGGTAGCAAAAATCTTTCTTGTTAATGAGATCATGCTACTGAACATTTTCAAAACTATACTTTTTTCATTTTGTTGTATTTCTAGAGAACTGGAAAAATTTGTATAATGATTGGAGCTACCCTGCTAGGATGGGTAAGTAAACAATTTTTGGCAGACTAAGTTGTTTATTCTTCTTATTACTATCATAAGGTAATTACAATTCTTGCTAAGGGTGAAGAATGAAAAGCTTTCACACATATTCAATAGAATTTAATACCGAAGTAAGAGCATATGAGTAATTTTTAATAATGTTGTATGGATTCAACTTCAAAGAGTGGTCATACTGAGGTCATTTAATTAAAAACTTACAGAATACATAGCAAGAATATGTTCCTGACTGGTTATTAGCAAAGGGAACATGTAGATTCACAGTCTGCAAAACAATGAGAAGAGTGTTCTTGAAACAGACAGGTAACAAAAATGCTAATGGTTGAAAATTCAGTCATACTTTCCATTGGTAAAGGATCATCAGACAATGGGTACTTCTTCTGTGAATGTCATAGTTTTATGAAAATAACTTCTGATAGGATCAACATATCTCATATGCAGACTGGAGAGCTAGAAGCCAGTTAGAAGGCTGCCTTCCCCAAGACAGGAAACAGAAAGAAACTTGAGCAATTGCAGTTTTACTAGGAGCATAACCACTGAGATACTCTGGTAGAGACTGGGAGGGCTGGACCTAGACTGCAAACCAGAAGGGTACAGGCAGGTTTTCCAGCTGTGACAGTTGTGCCTGGTAATGAGGGGAAGGAGAGAGACTAGTCTGCTGGTAAAGTCAAAGAGTCTCCTCTATTTTACCTGCAGACACTCTCCTAGCTAGAGCAGACATCCGCTGTGACATTTTAAGCAGGTGCTCTGACTTTCTGATTCCTTCCAAAATTCTTGCTTTTGAAAGGTGCTTTTGGATGGAGGTGCTTAGAGGCATCATCATGATGGCTTTTCCAAGCAGTAGGTTTCTGTTGCTTCCTGAGCCACGCAGTGTAGTCAGCATCCTATGGAGTACTTGGGGGCAGCAGGGACAGGCTGAAGGCAGCTGGGAAGAGGGGCATGGCACAACTCAGTAAGGGCAGTGCTGCGGTGCTGCATGCAGCAGTGACTAGGGGAAATGGATTTCCACTAAAGAGAGGGTAAATGTGGAAGTTGGGCTAATGACAAAAATAATGCTGTTCTTCACAGAGAGGAGACCTCAAAATGATGGAAGGGTCAAAATCTCCAGCCTCTGAAGCTTTAGTTAATACCAAAGTTCACACCAGTGGTGGTGGTAAACTGGGAGAATGAGATGCAATGGGAAATTACTTTTTATGGCAAGATATTGCCTCTACTCCGAGGCTGGGAATGTTTATTTCATTCAAGAGGCAGTACAGAAGTAGTGTGAAAGGAAATATCGGGGCAGCTTAGAAGTAAAGGTTATCCGGCAGAATGTAGCGACCCATGGTTTCAAGTATGCAAGTAAGATAGGAGATTTAAGTGTAATATCATCTGCTTTAAAATGAATGCAGCTCCTCCTGCTGAGCAGGTCTCCAGCTGGCTTAACAAATTCTGTGCTCTTCTCCTCTCACTTGCTTGGCAGTCTGGGGATGAGTGATATGCTTAGCTGACCCTGGGCTGATGCACAAGCATCTGGGAGAGTTTGAGCAGATGGTGGCTTGGTGTCACACATGGTCTTGGAAGAGGTAAAAACCAGGGAATAATAGAACCAAAATGTATCTGTGAAATACTCATCAACAAACACATTGAACGAGACAGTGGTTATCCTGGGAAGGACTGGGACTCAAACACCAGTTTGGCTTTGTGAGGAGCACTGCTTGTTGAGTGTGGGGTCTTTGGCAGTCATCTTTGTGGGAGACAACAAAAATTGCCTAGAAGAAAATATGATGAAGTGCTATTTTCAAACACCTCATTGACTCCGCAGAAGCCATTAGTGGCTATGATTTCTCTTATATTATTTTACTGCATTTTTCCGTTTCAACAAAAATGTACAATGCCTGTCTGCATGGGGTGAACTGCAGATGTAGTGGAGAGGAGGAAAAGTTCATTTCAAACATGAATGTTGAAAAACTTCATGCAGTGTTAACTTATTTTCTCTTTAAACTAAACATATATTTGTGTACATTTTAAAAAGTGCTGATTTTAACTGTTTTTGTTTCTGATCTGGGAACTCAAAGGGCAGTCATCTGAACAAATTTTTGTTCTTACTGAACTGTTATTACACCTTAGAGACCTGAACAGTTCCAGTGTGAGAATTTGAAGGTAATTTGACAAGACATGTGGAATCTAAGGTGGCAGAAATGTAGATAGAGCTTCATTTTCTTGTAGAAAAAGAAAAAGAGAAAAAAAAAAAAGATTCCAAGTATAACCCTCCTTGAAATGCCAACTCAGCAACAAGGTGCCACAAAAATTTCTTTCCAAACATTGTGGCATGTGCTAATGCCAGGAAACCTCACAGAAGTTAAAGAATGTGATTGAGATGTTCAAAGTAAAATCCTGAATTCCACTTCAAGCTCTGGTGGTGGCAGTTTCTGGTATGTCTGTGCAGGAAAAGAAAATTATGATTGTTATATGGGTAGGCCTACCTTGATAGAAAAATCCAGTAGCATGAATGATAAAAATAATTTAGACCCAAAAGTCCAATGTATAAGCGTAGCCAGCCACCACACGAAGAACTCTCCCAAGAATCCTGTCCATGTATTTTGTTTTCTAGCACATCCTAAAAGGCCAAACCATCAATTTCTCTTGGCTATCTTCTGTCCTTGCTTGCTGATGCCAGCACAGCCTGCAACTGCGCTCCCTCATTTTGCTGTGATGCTAGTATTGCGGGGAGAATATCTAGGCATGTAAATGTAGATATCTAAAAGAGGGAAATGGATTTGCATTTAATTTTGAAGGTTATCCAAAATCACTTCCATACCCTGGAAAATTACTTTTGGGTGTTCATTCTGGCAGTGGGCAGCTGTGAACACTCGTGCTCTTTCCCTGTCTCTCTCTCTCTCTCCGAACATGCTTTCTGAAATCGCTGGGTGGTCGTGACACTGGTAAATGAAAGGAGCGTTTCAAATTGGGTATACAGAGATGAGGAGGTGTGATGCAAATGGGTAATTTAGAAATAAAAACTAGGTAGTTGTTCTAAGGTAATAGTTCTGATTTATCATCTGCAAAATCCTTTCACCACATCTAAACCAAGGGCTTCTTTGGAACACCTGCACTTTGCTGTTGGAAGCTCATCTGAGCTGGAAAATTCTTCCTCCGGAGGCAATTTATTACCCATGTAACGGATGCTCCACTGCTGAATGTGTAGCATACTGAGGTTTGGCTACCAGTTTCACACTTTCAACACAAAGTGAAAAAATGGAGTTTGTGGGTTTGGAAGCATTTCTCTTATTGATATGGAAAATGGAGAATTTAACTTGGAAGTTCTTTGATTAACTCCTGATTCTGTTTACGGAGAGAAAAGGATGTTAACATTGGAAATTAAGTTCAAATGTGTTCAATAACAAAGTCCCTTCTTCAGAGGCAGATCTTGTTTCTCCTTTTGATGGGATACCACTCCCTGAGCAAAAAAGTCGTATGTGTCTTTTATTCCCTGAACAAAAAGTCCATCTTTGATTAGGCTGCTATCATAATTTTACATATTTAAAAATTTTACAAACTTATATACTTTACATATGGGAAAAGTAAAGGTCTGGGAGGAAAAAGAGAAGATATCCTATCTTGCTGATGTGGTTTTAAATTGCTGGGAACAAGTAAGAAACTAGCAGCTTTTAGAAAAAAGCACATTGAACTGTGTACCCTCAATCAGATTATTTAAGTCATTTGATTTTTCTATGGATAAATTAGTGTATTTTCAGACTTTTAGAATACACTTTTATCGAGTGTGTGCTTACTAATCTAACTGTTACACAGGATTACAGAACCTCTAAAACTAGAAATCAAACCACTTCACCTTCCCTTCCTAAATCTTCTGTATTAGTAAAGGTATTTTTGTTCTATTTTGTATTGTAATTCCAGTAGGTATCAAAGCACTGGAAGACCACACAACTGTATTCATTTTACAGATAGGAATGGACGGGAATTGCCGTGCTAAACTGTTCCCATCCATCTGGTATCTGATGATTCAAAAATATATACAAGAAATTCTGACATGGGTAGCCACAAGGTGAGATATACTCCTGTGAAACAGTTATCAGACTGTCACTAGTCTTCAAATTTCAAATATCTCAAGTGATCAGAACTTTATATCCCTTGTTCTAGTTCACCTCAAGATGATAGTGACAAAGATCTTTATATTAAGCAGTCCATGGTGGTTCGATCATTTCACAATAGCAGTTTTGGTGTTGTTCGCAGTTTTGGGGAGGAGTAGAGTGTGCTTGTGAATCGTTTTCATGTAAAATCCATGGCCACTTCAAGTCCTTGCGACAGCAAGGGCATTCTGCTGAAGACCCAGGTGCGGATCTAAATGTCAGAGGAAGCCTTTTCAGGCTGGACAGTGTGTTGGCATATGAACCCCGGGCTTTGGGACAGCTGATGCCAGATGTGGACTGAGTGGCTTTGGTCTCTTCTTTATTTTTGTTAGGAATCAAAACCTTAAGTGAACAGGTAACAGTCTATAGCAAATACATGGATTCAGTGAAAAATCCTTACTAAAAAATACAGAAATTTAGTTCATTTTTCAGTTCATTGAGTTAGACAGGCAGGATAAATATGGCAATACACAATGCTATTGGTTGCACTTAATGTAAACTTTGCTCTGATTTAACTGTGAATTAGAAGGATTTAGAAAATGATGGCTAAAAGTAAAGCAGGTTGATACTTTCCTGGTGTGGGTAGCTGCAGCTGAGACAGGTTTTTGACTTCAGGCCAATACCATATCAAGTCTTAAAGAAAGGACTAGGTTTGTCTGTTCTCTCCCTGCCTCCTCCTTTGTATGTTTGTATTTGGATTAAAGTCTTTGCAAATGTCCTAGGGAAGTGTCAGGTCTGCAAAGACAAAGAATGGGTATTGCCATTTTGGCGATGAGACCTAAGTTCATATAAAGGAGAATGACATGCTGATTGTGTAAGTGCAGTGGTACAAGTAAGAAAAGTGGAAGAAAATATC